TGTGAGAACTCACTGGGCTTCTCGGTACAGATTTTGGGTGGATTGAATAGTAGGATATATGAGGGAAAGAATAATCTACATCTTTCTTGGGGCCCTTTCGCAAGCACTGCTCTGTTTCAGTCTGCTCCTTCCTCGAAAACCCTACCCAGTTTCCATTCCAGCTTCTACAACTGCCCCTCCATCGATAAAGGTCAATGCTGTTGATACCTTCTGTGGCTATATTCTGTCTCAACTACAATGTAGACTTTGAACTAGATGTACTTCTTTCAGGTAGGGACCGGTCTCACACATGTATTTTATATTCCCCAATCTTCCTCACAAAATAGAAGAAGCTCTGTAGAGTACGAAGAGCCCTGGGCGTACAGTCTTGAGTGCTGTGTGGGGCCCACTGGGACAGTCCCCCGTCCCCTGAGATCCTAGCTTTCTCAGCCTCAGAATGGGGCTAATGTGCCCACAGGCCAGTAGGTTATTCAGGATTGAGCAAGATCACGTGGGAAAGCAGGGCATCTGGTCCTTTTTAAAGAAAATTTTGATGGGTTAGATTGAGGAAAGTGGATGTTTACAGAAAACAGTACAGACAAAATTAGAGCATACAGAACCCTGCTGCCTTTGAGAAAACCATTGTTTCTGGTACATTTTCTTCTAATCGTTTTTCTTCTCTTGTTTTTGCTGCAGATGGGTTACCCTCAGCCTGGCTGATCTTGAAAGCTTGGTGAAGTTTTCACTTATTTAAAGCATTGCTAATTATAGTGAATTTCTTATTTTTTCAACCAACAGGAGGATGAAATTTTGAACAGATCACCAAGAAACAGAAAGCCACGAAGAGAGTGAAACAATCTTAAGAACTTGATCTGTGATTTCCTCTCCCTCCCCTTTCCCTGCAAGCGTGGTCCTAGGAGAGGGCCTGGCACACCTTAGGTTGAAACTCCGAAAACCTCCAGACGTCACCATCGACAGGCTCTAGTCGAACACTAGCCCGTGTAATTGTAAACATCTAAGCAGTCAGTAATTGCAGTTGTGATATAAAGGACCTTGTGTCTGTAGAAAGAAAGCATATAACATTAATGGTTGTGAAATGTAACATGAAGCAACTAACTTGTATTTTGTTTTCGTTTTTGTTTTAAACATCTTTGTTTTTTAAAATAGAGTGATAGAACTTTGCCCATCTTTAAAATCTTGGCTTAATTTAATATATTAATCTGTCCGTGCAGAAATAACACCAACCTTTAGAAATGCTAGGGGGATGAATTGCAGTTTTTAGAATCAAATTTGTTTTTTAAGTTTGGTGTTACAAAACATTCAAGTGTTCTCTGTCCCTTAAAATTGATAATCATGTTGAAAGTGCAGTCATTTGTGGTTATAATCTTGTTTTGCTTGCTTCCATTGCCCAGTCTTCCTAAGGAAACTGAGGAGATGGACTGGATGGAAGCCCAAATTTATGTAAAGGTTGTTTCAGTTGTATTAAAAATAGACATACAGAAAGAAGAAATTTTTCCTCTTGATGTTGGTTAGACCATACAGTGCGTGTGTTCTCTTGCCCTTGGAACAGCTCCGTTCCCAGACGGCTTTGCAGTCAGTGGAGGAAGTAGCATAAGGTGGCACACGGGCAGTCATGCTTCCCAGACTGGGGGAGTCTGGGCACCAGCCGTCCAGAGCAGGGGGCTATTTAAGGAATGCTCCCAGGGCATGGGGGCTCCCAAGTAGACGCACATGTTTTCATCACTTCCACTGTGTTGACACTGTTTCCTTCCCTGTTGCCCCAGATCCCCAGCTTTCTCCTCTGCTATGCATTTTCTTCACAGCGCAGCTTGCAGTCCGTTGCTGAAAATGATTATACGCTCTGCATAGTGTTAAGCTTTATTGTGATTGTTTCTTCTTCCTTTTTTAAGCAGACCCACACCTTTCCAGGGTCAAAGTACAGGATAGAATACTGTCCTTCATCTTTACCCATTTCTTTTTACTCTGTGTAAAGACTTGAGAAGTCTAAGCCAGAGGTGAGCCAATTCAGAATTGACTGTAATTGAACACAGGCTAAAAGTATTTATGGGAGGAGTGACATACAGCATGAATTATCTGATTTTTTTTTTTTTTTTTTAGCTGCTAACTTTTGAAGTCTTCATTTGCAGTTCATGTAACATTTGTGTCTTAAATTACATGATAAAGCAGTCCTGTTGAAAAAAAATTTTTTTTGTTTGGGTATGTGGCTTGTAGAATTCTTTAAAAAGTGATCTTAGATTTGTTTTTTTCATGTGGAATGCAGATGGGTGCTATCAGAGCCTCTCCCCCATCACTCTAGTGTAATATCATTATTACACCACACTGAAATGTGTTCAGAATTGTTTTAGCTTTATTCTTTCTTCAGAGGTGTTTCAAATGTACCGATGACACTGTTTCTTGCACTGAATATATAAACACTCCAAAGTGTTTATATTGGGGAGATTTGGGAAGGAAGTATATTCATAAAAGATGAAGGCTGTATCTGTTTATTTTGTTTATCTTCAATTTTTTACTGGTTCACTGAAATTCTTAGGAGGGTGGGATGAATTTTTCTTGCTGTTCCGTGCTTTATCCTTTTCATCTGTTGTTATGTGGTCACAGTGACCTTAGCTATGTAGCAGACTTTCCCAAATGTATTGAGTGCAAATAAACAGTTACTTAGCAAGATCTGAAAATATGTCTGCAGGTTTCTCCTTGAAGCAAATGTGGGGGATTACTGCATTTCCAGAAACCTGCCTTCCTCACTGTCTGGTGTTACGTCTCCTGTCTCACCTAACAGTTTCTTCCAGCTGATCTGTGGAATGACAAGTACAAACTAGAAGGTTCATTTGCCTTTCTGGGATTATTTAGTAGCAAAGTTTGTTAAAAAAAAAAAAAAAGAAGAAGAAAAATCTTTTCTTGGTTTTCTCTTTGTTGAAGGTGCGCCCTTCCGATTAAATGTCTGACACATTAATGAATGACCAGCAGTATTTAGTTCTTAAAATGCACTTAAATTAATAGTTTTCCATGCTGGCTGTCTTGTCACAGTGTTGTAAAATCCCACTCCATCAGATGTGTTCAGTTTCTCTTACCACAAAATACTCTCCATTTTTCTCAAATTGTCACGTCACTAAATGGTATTACATTAAAGCCCTGTGTTAAGTGTCTGCTTTTGACTGAACTTCTTCATGGTAACTTCCAAGTCAAGTGTTATGCTGCAGAAAATGTGGATGGTTGAGTAATTACTTCATGTCACCGTGTGGATTTGATCCAGTCAATTCAGTGTAGATTGGGCATTCTTTCTCTGCTGGATTGCAGGTCAGCATTTCCTATTGTAGAGTAGGGATAGCAGCTCAGAAATGGGGGAGGGGGCAGTAACTTGTAGATAATTTTTTTTTTTCTTTAAGATTTTACTCATTTATTTGACAGACCACAAGCAGCAGGTGGGGTGGGAGAGGGAGACGCAGGGTCTCTGCTGAGCGAGCAAGGAGGCAGACACTGGGCTTGATTCCAGGACCCTGGGATCATGACCTGAGCTGAAGGCGGAGCTATAACTGACTGAGCCACCCAGGCACGCCCCTCTTTTTTTTTTTTTTTTTTTTTTTTTTTAAGATTTTATGATAACATTCTTTAATGTATGGGAGCCATTGAACTCTTAATTTTTATTAGAGAATGTTCAGAATCGGACTCTATCTTTCACATATTAAGTATTTCAAGGATGTTTTTGAAGTTAGGTCAAAACTTCTTAAATATGTGCTAAGGCTTTTGGATTCCTCGCTGGAAGGGAAGTACACAGAGTGTAGTACTCTTAGTTACTATTCTCTCCCCTATTAGAAAGTAGTTTAATTCTAATGCAAAATATATGTTTGAAGACTGGGGGGAAAAAACCCAGAACCATTGATGTTGCCTTCATGAGCTCTGGACACTTTTGACTTGAGCCTCTTGTATTTATTTTTTTACAGCATTGGTATAAAAACATACTACGTGAGTAAGAACTTTTTTTTCCTTCTGATTTTAAAATAAAATATTTTTGTGGGCCCTAGCAAAAAGTTACTGTAACAAATGTTTGAATTGGTGGTGGTCCTGGCACCTCCTGTTTAACTTTTTAGCAGTTAGGTTGCCCATGACTGTTCCCTACCTCTTGAGCCAACGTAGGCTTAGTTACCTAGTTTTAGTACTGAGTCACTGCTCCTGTTCCCCACCCCCAGTCTCCCACCCCTTATGCCTACTGGTTATAATACTAAACGTAATTGTCTCTGGTTGGATTTTGTTGAGTGACTCAATTTTACCTAAGCCACCATCCTTTAATGGCCCGCCAGTCTCCCTGTTTTTTGGCTGAAGCTTCAGCCTTTACAGTTCTAGTCCCCAGTAATGGAGCCAGAATCCTCTTCACATCTGCTGGGGCTTTTTTTTTTTTTTTTTTTTTTTTTAGTTTTTTAAGTACTTTCGAAACTTGCTCAAACTTTTATATCAAGTGGAAACTGACAGTGATTCAGAATGGTGCAAGAGGAAGCCTCTTCCAGCTCACTCGTGGACAATTCCGACCAATGATGAGGCTGGATGTAAGGAATGCGGTGGAAAAACAGCTGACATTGAAAAAGCGTGGCTACTTTTGAGTTGATGGAAACAGCTCAAAAAGGCTGCAGGGGAAGAAACTGGTGAAGCGCTGTAGTGCCAGGCGGGCGTCTGGGTCAGGCAGTTAACGATATGCTTCGCGGTCTGCCCCTTTCCTCCGCGGGCCCGGAAGGGCCTGCCGGTGAGGGCTGGCGTTTAGGACCGGCTCCCGTCGGTCATACTTGGCCCTGTGCCCGGCACTCAAGCCCGCCCGGGGGCTTCCCTCCGCCCCTCACTTGAGAGTTCCTTTTAAACTCCGCTCGGGAGCCCCAACGCACCTCTTGCGTGCTCGCCCCCACCCCTCGGGCGGCCCGCTCTGCCTGCTCTGATTGGCCGCAGTGCCTGCTCATCAGCCGTGACGCCGGGGTCGCCTGTCGGGGCCCCGCCCTCTTCCGAGAGCCCTGAAAACAATTTTAAGATGGCGGCGACGGCGGCGCGGAAAACAATGGGGCCGGGGCGGCGGGGACAGGCCGAAGCCTGAGGTGGGCAGCGAGCGCCGGCCCGGGTTGGGCCGAGCGGGGCCAGAGGAAGACCCGCCGCCGCGCGCTAGCCCGCTCCGCAGCCCGCGGGGCCATGGCGCGGCCGTGAGGCGGCCGGGCCGCCGGCGGGGAGCGGAGCCCGCAGTGCCAGCCGGCCCCGAGAGGCCCGCCCCGGGCCCGGCCCGTGCAGCCCGCGGCCCATGGTGCTGCCCACCTGCCCCATGGCGGAGTTCGCGCTGCCGCGGCACAGCGCGGTCATGGAGCGCCTCCGCCGGCGCATCGAGCTGTGCCGGCGCCACCACAGCACCTGCGAGGCCCGCTACGAGGCCGTGTCGCCCGAGCGCCTGGAGCTCGAGCGCCAGCACACCTTCGCCTTGCACCAGCGCTGCATCCAGGCCAAAGCCAAGCGCGCCGGCAAGCACCGGCAGCCGCCCGCCTCGGCCGCGGCCCCGGCCCCGGCGCCCGCCGCCACCCCGGCGTCCGCCGCGCCGGCCTCGGCCCCGCGACTCGACGCCGCCGACGGCCCAGAGCACGGCCGCCCCGTCGCGGTGAGTAGGGCGTGGGGAGCACCCCCTGTCCCCTGTCCTGGGGGAGACGCTGCCTCTGACGCCGCCCGGCCGCCTTGTGGGTTCCCCGGTGCCCGCAGCTCCTCGGGTCCGGCTCGGGGGAGGCTGACACGGCAGGGACGGAGCGGTTGTCATCTGCGGGAAACGGCACTGTGGCATTTACTTTGGGAGAACATGACCGTAAGGACCTGACTTAATTAAGGCCCCGGCTGGGGAGGCTGGGAACTGTGGCTGAAAGGTTATTCTTCCGGGCTTGATTCCGAATGTTTGGTAACTTTTTGGGGGGAGCAGGCTGGCACAGAGTTGCCTCTGATAGCGGCCTCATTTATCCTGCGAATATTTATAAGGTCCCTGCTCTTTGAAGAGCCAGGGCTTGCATATGGAAATAAGCCGATCCGCGGTTGTCCAAATTAAACGGTTCTGAACGGAAAAATCCAAAAATCTTGGGAGATCACAGCAAAAGGCATAATACTGCTCATCGAGTTGCGAAGAAAGTATTATTGCTTGTTGAGGCAGCCCCGAAATGTGTGAACTTGTAATTCCAGTAATATTGACGACAGTTCCCGCTTTAATTGACAAACCTCTTAAGAATCTCCGATGATGTTAGAGAATTTGTTGGTTAGAGGTTCACCTCCGTGAAACTGATTTATAAAAGGAAGATTTATTTATTTATTTATTTATTTATTTATTTATTTATTTTTTGTGGTGGTTTTCCTGATGATTTAAAGTTTAAAACAAGTGTTACCGGTCTAGTTTGTTCTGTGTGTTTTTAAAATTTGTGCCTCTATTACCTCTCACTAGGCTATTGCTGTGCTGGTCCCTTACTAGTCTTTGGTCGTTCTTTCTCTCTAAATGCTCTGCCCCCATGGGTCCTATGCTCTGGTGAGTGCTTTTCCTCATTCTTTCCTACACTGGGCTGCTGGACATTTCATTGCTTATCGTATCCACTAGTCCAGGCTTCTGAACCTCACTTTTTCCGTCTGTAAACTGTGGATGTCGTTTAGCTTCTTATCCTCCAGGGTTCTTACAAGACTCCAATGAGTGCGGGTGTGAAAATATTTCCTATTTCTTAAACAGAGAGGCTGCTGCCTGCAGGGCCCTTCTCCCCTTTCAGAATCCTGCCCTCATCCTTTGGCTCATCTTCCTCTTCTTTAAAGCTTGTTTCTGACCACCCTAGCCCACCGTCAGTCTTCTTTGTGAAAACATTTGGAAAAGGTATGGCAGGCACATAGTGGTACTGCTTTAGGTCATGTCTTGCCAAGCCGACGGTACGCCCTGGGAGGCAGGGAGGAGTTTGGCTCAGTCCTGTGCACATCTTAGGCCTCCCGCACATGCTGAGTGATTGATACTCAGCTTTGTAGTACTTTACTCAGTCATCTATCCTTCTACGCGCTAACCTTAAAAAGTAAAATGGCTTAATTTCATGAGCCACCTTTACTTACAACTCTTGTTTTAAGGAAAGCCTGTAAGAGTAGTGGATGGTCATTCCAATTTAAGTAAACAACGAAAGCTCATAAAAATCCTAGTTTTATACTCCAAACAGTTGCCTTGAACACTCTGTAGAAGGTGTATGAGTAGTGATTCAATTTGTTTAAAGGGAGTAAGAGCTTAGACTCTATGTTATTTTTAGTGCTGATTTACTGGAAAGAAATGAGGCACGCTGTTTGAAGAGAAATTAATTCTGAGTGTTAGAACTTGAATATGGCTTGTCATTCATTCCTTCGGGTGTTAGAGCCTAAGCAGGTGGACCGTATTATGTTGATGTCTTATCACGTTAAACTTTGACCCAAGGATTTCATGAGTTTAAACTTCAGAGTGGAATTGCTCTTCCGCCTCCCTCTTAGAGAGAGGGACCCTTTTCACTTCAGTCTACAACTGATTCTAGCTGAGCTCTTTGGCCTTGGAATGGGGTCGTAGTAACAAGAATAGGTCCGTGTCACTAAGATAACAGTGGTGTTTTCCATTTTAATGGCTTACTCAGTTCAGAGAGGAGAGCGTCCTTCCCCAGATAGGACTTTGCCTTGGAGAGAGAGCACAGCTTTCCACAGAGAAGTGGAGTGGAGAAGGTGCCTCTTAGTCATTGTTATTTTGGACAGTTCTATATGTGTACTTGATCTGATTAATATCCCTTACATAGGGAATATTATTAGTTCTCCCCCGCCCCCAGTTGTACTATAATACTGGTAGGCAGCTGTTTCATCAGCAACCGTTTGTAAAACTGAAAAGGGATCAGATTTATAGAGTTCAACCTTCAGGTTTTTTCCTTTCTTAGGATGTCCCAACACCAGCAGTCTTAACCTTATTTTGGTTATTCTGTTAAAGAATAAAGAAGGCACCGAAGAAACGGTCCCTCAGACTTTTTTCTATTCTAGTTGTCAAGGAATGACCTTACTGGGTTTTCTTTATACTGTATGTGTATTAAAGACCAGATTGGTTTTTCTTTTTAAAATTTATTTTTTTGAGAGACAGAGAAAGAGAGAGAGCGAGCAGAGAGAGGGGCAGAGGAAGAGAGAGAGTCCCAAGGAGACTCTATGCCAACTGCATAGCCCAGTGCAGGATTTGATCCCAGGACCCTGAGATCATGACCTGAGCTGAAATCAAGAGTCAGATGCTCAACCGACTGAGCCACCCAGGTGCCCCCAGTATTGCTTTCTAATGACAGTTAAGACTGACTTCTTTTGGAATACCTGGGTGGCTCATTCGGTTAAGAATCTGCCTTCTGCTTAGGTCAGAATCCCCAGGTCCTGGAATCAAGTGTGGTGTTGGGATCCTTGCTTAGTGAGGACCCTGTTTCTCCCTCTGCCTGCCACTCCCCCTGCTTGTGCGCTCTCTCGCTGACAAATAAAATCTTTTTTTTAAAAATCCAACTTTTTTTTTTAAGATTTTATTTATTTATTTGACAGACAGAGATCACAAGTAGGCAGAGAGACAGATCCCCTTGCCAAGCAGAGAGCCCGATGGGGGGCTCGATCCCAGGACCCTGGGATCATGACCTGAGCCGAGGGCAGAGGCCCTAACCCACTGAGCCACCAAGGTGCCCTCCCCCAATTGACTTTTTATTAGGAATGCTAGATTATAGAGAATTATCTAACCACTTTATACAAGCGTTATGTAATGAAAATCGTCTTATGCAATAGCTTGAGCATTTTCTTTTAGTAAAATGCCATAAAGGTTTATGCTTCATCCCTTTATCCACTATTGTTACATTTTTGCTGCTTATTCCTGAAGTAGTTGTGAAAGTCTCTGGAGAAATTTGATAGTTGCCTGCCAACCATTCATGGAAGTTGCCTTCCCTGCTTAGTTTAGGTGTAAGAACTTTACCTTTCTCTCTCTCTTTTTAATTTTTTATTTGTACATAATTTAAAACTTAGAAAAAAGGTACACAAATACTACAAAGACCATTTGTACATCTTCACTTAGATTCTGCCCATATCACCATTGTGTCCCATTTGCTTTATCATTAGCCTACACGCTCTTTCTCCTGTCTACATCCATCCTTCCATCTCTTTCTCTCTCTTAAAACACCTTTGTTCTCTGAACTACGTGAGCACTACCTGAAAATCTCACAGCTCTCTACTCGCAGACAACCCAGTGTGTGTTTTTAAGAGTTAAGAAACATATACAGCATTTCAGTAATGATTTTGTAGACCAAACTGTGTTAGAATTATGCAAATAACAAATTACTAGACATCTTACTGTAATCATGCGGGATAGTTTTAGAGAAGAGATGACTAATGTGGCTTTAGGATCCCATTTCTTCCTATAACATCTGGGACCTTGTCCTGGCCCTCTTTCCTTTTTTATCTTTAGTCCCCTTTCCCACTGGCCCTTCCCTTCAGCTTGAAAACATAAGCAATTATTCTCCTTTCTTTTGTCTTTTCTCACTCTCAGAATAGTATTCCATCTTTTTCCTTCCCTTTGCCCTTTCCCCTTGAACTTCCCATTTACTCATTAGCCCATTGTAATCTGCCTTTTCCCTCTTCTTCTCTTCCGAAATTGCCCCTTTAAAGGGCACCAAAGATGGAATTGCCAAATTCAGTGGCTTCTTAGTCATCATTCTTTTTGACTTCCTCCTTCTCAAGGCTCTTCTCTTAGTTTCTGCTCTCTTCTTCTTCTTCTTTTTTGTTTTTTTTAAAGATTCCATTTATCCACTTGACAGATCACAAGCAGGCTGAGAGGCAGGCGGGGTGGGGGGAGGCAGGGTCCCCGCTGAGCAGAGACCCCCCCCCCACATGTGGGACTCGATCCCAGGACCCTGGGATCATGACCTGAGCCAAAGGCAGCAGCTTAACCCACTGAGCCACCCAGGCACCCCTCTGCTCCCTTCTGATTCTCTTTCCAGTTTTCTGGTTTTTTTCCTCAGTCTCCAGCTTTCCCTTAATAATTCATGCAACGAGTACTTGAGTGCCTACTGTGGGCCAGAGGGGATTTTAGGCACTAGGAATACAGCAGTGAACAAGACAAATTAAAACTCCGGCTTCATGGAGAAAGAGATAGATAATTTTAAAAACTAATTTTTATAATATTATAATGCTAAGAAAATATGAGAGGAGTATTGTGCTACTGGTTGACTTACAGTAGCAGCTTTAGATAAGATGCTCTTGTCTTTATCTGGGCCTGATTGACAGGGGGTCATCAGTCAGCTGGAAGTCTCAGAAAAGAACATTCCAGTTAGAGAAAACCACCAGCACAAAGTCTCTGAGGCAGGAACCTTCTGAGAAAGGAGGTCATTGTGGCTGGAGAGATGGCAGGTAGGTAGCTAGTGTGAGATGTGGGTAAGAAGGGCCAGATCAAGTGCACTGGGAAGCAGTTAGCAGGGTTTTAAGCAGAAGCATGACTTATGTTTTAAAGGCCATTCTGGTGCTATGGAGAATGCTTGGGGTTGGTGTACACAGGAGTGGATACAGTTAAGGCTTTTGCGGTGGTCTAGACTGAGGCTGGATATGGCAGTGGCGATGGAGAGGAGGAGTTGGGTTTTGTAT